GAGGAGGTAAGTGAGATACTTTGCCAACAGAATAAGATCATTTACATACAAAAGAAACAAAATTGCATTGTCTTATTTAAAGTGCATATTATCTAATTATCTTATTTTGAGAGTAAATAAATCTCATTCCATTGGAAAATCCTCTTATTTACCTGCTTAAATGAAGGGTAAATACACTTAATTTAAGAAATGTTCACTAATTTCCAGTGTACACACCCATTCAGATCTTTGGAGTAAAATAATCTCCACTGCATATGTCCAGTTGTGGATTAAGTGCTCAACAGTAGTACTTGAGTAAAGTATTGCTACTTATACTCTAATCTTATTTAACTACAATTCAACATTACTCGGTCAAACATCTACTCAAGTATTGAATTTTCTAAATATTCAAAGAGAGCTCTCCATGCAAAGCATTCTGGGTTATATCTGCCCCTTCTGAGGCCTTCCTTTTATTCTCATACACTTCGTAGACACTTTTTCTCTTATGACCCTCAGCAATTTTCAAGAACTGCAGTGAGAAAGGTGAGCTTCAATGACTGAAACCGTACCTCACCACACATATGCGGCAGAAAGTACGCATGTGAGCAAAAAGATAGCTAACGGGTCGAGCATGTAGGATGGCCTTATGTAAACATGAAACCATAATAATAGAAATTTAGGAGGACCACTTATTTAGATGATCCACAAGGAAATAAAAGAACGCCTTTAAATTGTTTAAAAAAATTGACTCAATTAACTGCATTTTTTTAATACATACTAAAGTTCCTAGTGGGAACCTTTGTGTTTGCAAGCAGCATCAGTGTTGGTCCAGTGCAGATATTTATTCTTAAAAACTATCTTAGTGCAGCAGAAGTTACTCCGTGATTTTGTGGCATCTATGTATCTACTTTGTTTTCTGACCTTAAAAATCAAAATTTCAAGCCAATAGTTTTATTGGAATCAGGACAAGATCTTATCACCTTTGCAACATTCAAAAAATATTAATATTTTGATGACAAAAATTAATGTCAATGTAATAACAAGAAACGCCAACTTAACCGAATATATTAAGAAAAATAACAAAAGTTCAATAAAAAATTAATTTGAAACTTTCATCTAATTATAAATACATCTGTGTTTGAATACCAAGAAGAAAGGGCAACTTCATAAGACACAATGATCACACAAACAGTATTGATTTTAACCCTCTTTTGTCTTTAAAGTATCAAAAACATTCAACAGGGATTTATACCATACTGACATGTTAATGTCATATGGATGTTGTTGAAATATGAAGGAGTTTTTTGTTCAATGGTTATTAATGGAGAAGCTGTTATGCTGCCATCTGCTGTGTCTTTTCTGAATATTGATAACAATCTCATTTTTGTCGTAAGCTGTATGCAAGGGAATTTTGTTCTGTGTGCACTCTGTTCATACAAAATGACAATAAAGTTTATCTAAGTCTAATATCAAACGAGGGATAGATCATAATATTATCATCAATTAGTAGGCCTATAACCAAACGAATTTTATAGAAAGTTAAACACAATGTTGTTTGGGTCTGTATACAGTGCTTAGACGTGCACCTAGTGGTCAAAACTTGTTTATTGTTGAAATTGCTTATCGCTCAGTGATCTGGAGGGACAGTCGAGGTCCTTAGTTCATATGCAGTCATATGTCAAGAGAAAAAATCTGCGGCAATATCAGAAAATTTTTCTTCTCAGAAGTGTTGCTTAGAACCTGATCTTATCTAAAAAGAAGATGCGGAAACATATCCCTCCATGAATGGACAAAGGGAATAAAGATAAACCCATTAAAACATATATAAAATAGATTTCATTAAGTTGAAGGCTTGATTACATTCAAACACCACACCTTTCAGATTGATTTTTCTTGCAAAGATTTTTCTTGTTTTATTTAATATATTCTAATTACTATTTTATTATTTTAATAATTATTCTAATAACTATAAACTATTTTGTATAAAACATTTTCCTCTGAAGTTAACCGTAACTTAGTATGCACCCCAATGAAACGCACTCAAGGTTAAGTTTGTAATGTGACAAGTTGTTAGAACATGTGTAGATATGAAAGCTTTTGCAAAGCAGAGTAAAAAAAATCTATAGTTGCTAATGTCAGTGTGTCTGTCAATAAACACAGTTTTCGGGGTTGATTGCAAGATGGGAGCACTCAGGTTCTGTTTTTCAAAGCTGTAGGTCTGTATGATTGGAGTTTCCTTTGCCGTATCCGATGTCTAACTCTCATTTATTCTGTAGTTATTTAAGCCACCCTCTGAACCCTGGGAACAGACAGAATAACGCTCCGTCAGACTCGCCTATCCAAGTTGTAATGGAGTTTGGCCTCCAAACATTAATCTCTCTCCTGGTTCAGGAGCGCTGCAAATTAGTTCTGCAGTGGAAAAACTAATGGTTTGACAAACCGCTTAAAGGCATAGACAGAAAGCCTTGTTTACTAGCTTCAGAGTAAAAAAAATCTGATCTTTAATTTTAGTCAGGGGAAACATCTTCACTGTGAACCTGAAAAAAACACTTCTTGCAATTGCAATTTCTACTTCTTTAAAAGAGAGAAAATATTGGTATTTTTTTATACATATGAGAAATGGCAATTGTACAATAATTGTACCAAGTAGGCTTTACCACAGTTGGCTTACTTTGGCATCCCTGAGTCACCCCACTTACTGTTTTAGAATTTAGAGGCGATTATGTCAAAATATTTCCCACATAGTTCATTTGTTAAATGCCAAAGAGATATTTCCCAGTCTTTAGTCCCTAGTGACGACCTGTGTCTTCTTCTGTTATAAACTGTGTCAACTGTTTTCCCACCTGAAATATGTAACAATTTTTGCCTATGTACATACAATTTCAATGTATTAAATGCTACTAAATATAATATTACTATATAAATATAGGAATACTAAAGTTCGATTTTGTGAACATCATCATTATTTTAATTGCAGACAGACAGACAGGCTTCCCGCTTGCTCACATTTTCCTTACTTTTTACCTTCTTATCTCTCAGCCAAAATTACAAAAAGTTGCTGGACTACTTTTTAAACATTTTTATGTCTTTTTGATCAAGAGAATGACAAATCCACGTCAGCTCTCTGGTCACCTGGACAATCGCCTTCTGCAGCGTCAGGCAAGCATAGAGTCCTCCCGCCTCCTCCCTGGTTCGGCTTTCCCCGCTCTGAGGTAAGCGTTTGTCCAGCTGTGTTGGGATCTGGAGGCTTTGTCCACTTTCTCAACCAGAGGGTGCGCAAGGTCTCCTGGGGGCATGAGCTGACTGCAACACCTGTCTTCCATCTGCTCATCAGGAAGCCCTATTTAAGCAGGAGGAGGCTAACACTTCCCTGCCAGAGTGTTTGCCAGTAATGGTAGAGCTAGACCTGAGCCAAACAACCACATCTGAATCTCTGACTTTTGTGAACCTGCCTGACCCTGTTTCTCTCTGCCTCACAGATTGAGTCCTGTCTGAAGACCTGAAATCCTGGAGAGTGATCTCTGTCTGGAATCTGCCTGCCTGCACTCAGTTAAGCCTCTGACCCCAGCCCTCTGCCTGCCGACTAGCCTCTGGACCCTCAAGGTTCCCCCCCTGCAGCTCCGTTCCACCCTTGAGCAGGTATTAACTCCAACATCAGAAAACCTGCGGTTAACCTAGATCAACACTAACCTCTCTGTCCTCCTCAGTGGTGTTCCCCTCGTGACCTGTCTGCCGAACCAAGGACCAGTTCATACTCATTGTATATTTTGTAAATAAACCTTTGAACTTTTTCCCTGTCTCACGAGTGTTTCTGCATGTGGGTTAGACGCCTTGAACCCAACATGACAAGCTGTACATGTATAGTAATGTTATACAATGTTTATTATACTCACTACTATAAAGAAGGTCCCTCGGGGAAGCTCCATAAAAAGAATTAATCTACAAGCTATAAGAACTGGATTTAAGGCACTCAAGTGAAAAAAACAGCTCTCTTCCTATAGAGTCAAAAATACCAAAGCAAACAAACCAAGGAGAAGTGAAATAGAAAAGGTTTGGAATTAAAACGTACTTTCCTCAAAGACCTGTCTCTACTTTCTTCAGACCGCATGAAATCTTTTATAGTACCTGGGGGTGGTCTGTATATAGAAGAGGCTGCTGTTACATTTAAATACAACCTTTAAAAGGAGAAACAAAGATGGATAGATATTCTTAAAAGATTTGAAATCTAAGGTTATAATGCTATGCCTGGGAAAAAAGAGAGAATGGTTCTTAGTATACAGGCTTAGTTACTTTAGAATCCATAAATCCAATTGATTTAATTTATCGTTGTCATTGAAATAAAAAAATAAAAAAATTGTGCAACTACTTAAAAAGATGCCTGAAAAAGAAGTTCTTTTGTGCATTCTCCAAGAATGAGAAGCAGAACACTGAATCCCATCATGCACTAAATTGTTCAATTGAATGCAAATTTAGTGAGAGCCAGAAAATGTAATTTCATGCATGAAATTTGACACTGCACATAATTTCAAGAAAATTAACCTTTTTTGCAGTTCAAATAGCATCTCTGAATGGACTGAATTTATATGGTGCCTTTCTAGTCATACCAGCACCTCAGAGCACTAGAACCACATTCACTCACATGCACACAGTTACACAGATTGGTAGACAACCTGGGGTTAAGTGCTTTCCCCACGGGGGCAAATGGGTTAGAAATGAACCCACTATTTTGAGAATGCAAGGCAGCTACTCTCCAAACTGATCTATAGAAAACTTTCTCTACACTAGTGATGGGTGTAGTAACACAGATGCCTCAGGCCTACAGGGCAAAACACTGTATTGCTGCATGTTTTGTTTCAAGAAAGTTATGCGACCGATACAGGAGTTGTTTCTAACTGACTGACACACTAAACTGTGTTTAAAAACCTATCTGTTAACATGGTCTATCATTAAAATCATCAAGAATTTTGTAGCAGCATAAAAAGACTAGGAACGTTTCAGGCTTTGTGTTTTTTTATTTTAATCTTCTCATTGTTTCATACTTTTCCTTTCCACTATCACTCAACTTATCTGAGATAAAGTTAATTTCAAATTGACTCTTAGTTTATTTACAGTTTTTTCTTTACTTGTTGTTTTAAAAATAGGATTTAAAATACGATATCACCTACAATAACTTAAATTATATAATTGTACTAGGTTATCAAATCAATTCAGTTTAGTTTGTCAAATAAGCTGCCTGTAGTGTCTTTAAATGTCCAGCAGGTGTCAGTATGCTGTGAGACAGTAACAATGCAGGATCAATAGAGTTTGGCTTCAAGATGCCTCATTAACCCATCACTAATATACACCTCTGGGATGGGCACATGGAGAATGGAGAAACAAATAGGTCATAAAAGTTACTAAATATAATAATGAAGTCATGTGTTTGATTCTCCATGAAAAGAGAAATACCACCTTAATGATATTCCAAAAAAAGACAATTAAAAACAATACGCTGAAATTTGTTTCCAAGTTTGAAGACATTTCGCTTCCCATCCAGGAAGCTTTTTCAGTTAAAAATGTCAGGAATAGCTTTGAGTTCGAGGCTTTGTACAGTAGCACATCATCATTAAAAGCTCAAAATGATTAGATATCATGTGAGCTGTTGATGAGCAGCTTTAATGGATGGAGCTCAGTGATTTTTACTCTGCAGTAATAAGATCTGTTCCTTCTGATCTGGTATTCCTATGGAGAGAGCTCTGACCAAGGAATGATCTCACTCCAATCTGCTCTCTGAGCAAACCATATTCCAGTGAGATGAAGCTGCTACCTAAAGTAGTTTACTTTACTGTGTGGACTTCTTTTAATTCGACAAAATAACCTCTTTTTTCCACCTCCATCTTGAATGCTGATGACAAGGAGCTGAACCGCTGGTGCTCGCTGAGGAAGACCTGCAGGTTCAGGTACTGACTGGACAGATTAAGATGTTTGAATAGTTCTGATTATTTAGTAACGTCTGTCTTTGCTTCCTAAGGTCTGAGAAGGAGGAGCTGAGTGATCTGAAGAACTATAAAGTCAAGGCACAGAAGGTGAGGAAGAAGAAGAAAGTCCTGAGCTGTGTATTCTGAGTGAGTACAACCTTAAGCAGCAGGACTCCATCTCTTCCGTGGTTAGAAGGTGACGGTGTTCATCTGTTCCTGATCTGCAGGGAGGACAAAGAAACACCAGAGGCTAAGACCAAGCTGGAGAAGAAACAGTGACACCGTCTGAAGAATCCCGATGAGCAAATCAGAGGAGCAGATCAAGCAAGCGTGGATTCTGCAGAGGAGATGGTTGAAGCTCTCAATGAGGCTTTTGACAACACCGAGGAAGGAGAGAAGATCCTGGTACCTAAGAAGAAGAAGCTAGAAGAGCAAAGCAAGGATCCATCAGAGCAGACAGCAGAGAAACGGAAGAACCGCAAGAACAGGACTGCATGGACCAAGAATCCCAGGAGGTTCAATGGATGCCTCCAACCGAGAACCAAGAGCAGTACTCGAGTTGATGGGGAATGAGGGGTGAAGGCGTCTTAAAACAAATCTTAAAAATCATCCCCCTTCTTAAATGACCATATCATGCCCTGTAACATCTTATTACTGAATGTGTGAATTTATATTATATATTCATAGTAATGGCAATAATATTGCCCTTTCAACATTTGGCAGGCTGTGCACTTACAAGTAGCCTGAGCAGATTACGGTGGCCCAGAGGGCACACGTCATTTCATTTTCGACCTCTGTGGCAAAACCAGCGGAGCAGGTAACAGTGTTCTGAACCTGAGTTAAAATATTTAGAAATTAGTATATTGTCTGACGGCAGTGTCTAATTTCACTTGCGCCGCTTCTCCTGTTTAGATGTTAAAGCCCTCAGGTTAATAGACTATATTAACCTGAGGGCAGATGAATAAATAATTCTTTATAAAATAAAGATAAAAGCATGTTTTTAAACCAATTTAACATTCCTAAGGATTCATAAAAACACTTAGTAAAAAGATCCTGACTGAGTTTATCATAATTCGTGCATGAGAGGGAAATTATTAACCAAAAACTGACAAGAAAAATACAGCAAAAAGTTATTTATGACAATAAAATACAATTAAAAAGGACCAAGACACAAATTCTTTTTTAGGTTTTATAGGAGAGAGTTTGTCTCTGCAGTCATATAGGGAGTCTACTATATTATTAGAGATAAAGAATTACTGCTCAACCCATTAATTGTATATATTATGTAGAAAACATTTTTATTTAATCTCGACCGATGTATAAATATGTGTGGAGCTTTATTTGCAAGGGCCTCATGAATATCTGGTCTGTTTTTAGTGATTTATTTGGAAAATATAGATGTTTGAATTCATGTTCCTGTTGTTTATTGTGATCAGCATAGATTGACTGTAAAATATTTTTTAGCACCTTTTCATTTTCATCCTCCCCTCTGTGCAAACTGGCCACCTCTACCAACATTTTCTGGAACTGCCATCGATGAACAACGACCACTAACTTGTTTGTATGGTTTGTTACAGAATGCAGTTAGTTTGGTTTCGCAGTATTTTGCCTCCACTAACTTTTTTTATGCTTTTCCTGTCCTTTTATAGAGCTAATTTGTTCAGACGCTGCAAGATGACCAGTTTAATATGTTTACATGAACTGTCAGGTCAGACCCCCCCTCACAGAGAAACATAATAACCACCAATCTCCCAAACCGCTGTACTATAGTGTGACAAAGTGGTTCAGTTTGCATTCACCACTTGTCCCTTATTCTTATTTCTGATTCATAATGCTTAAATTTAAACATTAGTTTATAACTTTGCTTCACTTACTATCCCGGGTTTGTTTGTGTAGCATGAGGTTGCAGTTTCCATCTATTTATTTGTTTAGGCTAAAGCTAATACTTCTGGATTATTGGTTGAACTTGTGTATTTTGTTTCCAGGTATAATCATGGTATTTATTATACTTTATACTCAACATTGCTTGTCTCAGTATTTCCTGCTAAATTGGCTAGATTATGTCATTGATTACCTTGCTGGGTTCTTTCATTAAGAGGGTTTCCTTTGGAGTAGTGCTTTGTTTTTCTTTAAAGTAAATTTTTTAGTTATTTTCTATCACATTGTTTATTTTGCAGACTGTTTCATTATGTAGATGAGTTTGTAAATTAGATTAATCATTTTATTCTTGTTTCTCTGTTTAGACAGTTTGTTTTCTACCTGTTTAATTGTGGCTTGGTCCACTCAACTGCAGGTGTGTTGCCAATTGATTATACAGGCACTGAGATCTTGGAAGCTCAGGGAGATGGTTGTCAGAGTGAAAAGTCCTGAATAAAAATCCTCAGAGGAATCTGGAACCAGAGGCTGATGCTGTTTGTTTTGTTCACTTTGCTGATCCTTGACCATACTACCTCACATATAGTAATATTAGAACTCTGCTCCTGTTGACTTCAGTTTGGTTTATTTATAAAGAACAAATTTAAAACCACTTATTTCAACATTTGCTAAAAAAGACCATCAGATCTGTTCACATGACTTGAATCAAAGCTTTATTATAGTAAAAAAATAACAGGTGAATATAGAATAAAATAAAGGATCCCTTAGTAGAACCAGACCCAGTAGGCAGGATTTAATATAATTTAGTCTAGTGAAATAAAAACAGGCCATCTCAAGGAAATTTACACAAGGGCTTTAAAACAGAAACATTTAACAGAATTCAAAACAAACACAGAATGAAATCAATCATAAACGTCCAATACGATCCTTTTTAAAATATGGTAAAGATAAATTAAGTCTATTAAGGCATTTAGAGAAATGTCTTAAATTCAAGGAAGCTCAGCCAACCGCATCGTCATTAATCTTGTAGCATTCCCTCCTTCTGAAGAATGAAGTGGTAACAGTCGAGCGGAAAACTAGCTTTAAGCAGGAAGGATCCTCCAGCAGAACTTGGCTCCATGTCAGCGCCCATCTACTGCGGCAGAGCGGGTCTTTAACAGGACAGCAGACGTGCAAGAGGTGCCGGTCCAACGAGGAGATGACGGAAGAAATCTGCTGGAAGAGAAGGGAAGAGAAGAACAGGAGTCAGTGAGAGAACACCCTAGTCTGGGACATTTAAAGATGGAAACACTGAGAGAGGTGTCAATTTAACGGAGAGAAGAGGAAAACAAACAGGGAGAAGCTAAAGTTAACAGCAGTGATAACTGTAGACCAGAGGTCTTCAACAGGGGGTCCGCGACCCCTAGGGGGTCCGCAGAGGTACTGCATGGGGGTCGCGAAGTTTTGGTTAATTAGACTTATATCCCCCCCTGCAATATTTTCCACTAATTGAAATGTCTTTAAATCCACATTAACATGAATTCAACACACTGTAGTAAACAGATAAATGAAGGCAGAAGATGTCTTTCAGTCATCAATGCAGATCTGCGTTTCTGAGTAAAAATAAGCCAAATATCTGACAAAAGAGTGGAAATTAGATTATATAAAAATGTTTTGTTATTGCTGTTTCAATAAGTTTAATAGTAAGAACAGAAACATATTTTTTTGGTTCTTCAAAAAGTCAGAGAAAGAATATCAAGATTTGACGCATAAAATATCTAAAAACATGACTTATATTTTTAGATAGTCTTCAACATAAATGACAAATGAACCAGAGAAAAGAGGTCAAACAAGTATAGGATAGCTGAAACCTAAACCTTTTTTTTTTATATTCCCCCTGCAATTTTTTCCACTAATTGAAATATCTTCAAATACACATTGACATGAATTCAACAGACTGTAGTAAACAGATAAATGGAGGCAGAAGATGTCTTTCAGTCATCAATGCACACATTCAGCGACACACAGGAGCTCTTTCAAGCTGGGCACCGTTTCATTCACAACACCTGTCCCATCAACCAGGAATCAGAATAAAAAATACTGTAATAATCCCAGGGAGAAATTACTTTCGTTACATGACTCCATCTGTAATAGAGTGACTATAGAACCAGTTTAATATAACACAATTTCATACAATATATAAAATTAGGGGGTCCCCGCTCCATCTCGCCATCAGTTTGGGGGTCCTTAGCCTGGAAAACGTTGAAGACCCCTGCTGTAGACAATGGATGCTTGAAGAAAATATCTGAAAATGCTGCATTTGTTGGAGTCTACAGTCGGTTTCATCAGGGTCGTTTCTTTGCTTTAAGAAGTTCTATAAACCCTTCAGAGATCAACCAGGGGGAAATTCTCCCATATTGGATTAGAAGCTGCTTCTCAGCTGTTTATCTGTGGTCTAATGGAAAAGTCAGAACTTCTGGTTCTGGTAAAGTTTTGGTTATAGAGATATAAATTAAGGGGAACATCCATTCATGATGGAAAGATAAGATTAAAGGTCAGACCACCTTGATGGGATGGTTTTGGCTTTTGAATCTATTTGTTCTGGATCTGTTTTTATTGTCATCACCAATACTGATGAACAGCTGGAAGCAATAAAGGTTCTTTACCTTATTTCTGGAGCAGACTGATGGTTTAGCTGCGGGGTCGTCAACGTTTTTCATTCCAGGACTCCAGAATGTTGGAGAGACGAGCAGGGGAGTCATGTTTCTACACCTTGGTGGTCTGTGTTCTCCATCCTCTGCTTCAGCTCCTTCATCAATGAAAGCAAAGCGTCCTCAGAGTCTGAAACTGTCTGCATGTGATGCCTCTCTAGTCTAACAACCAACATACCTTCGAACACGTGTGGATGGACTCTGTTCCACGGAGATCTGACTGCTAGAACGCTGCTTCCATATTGAACCTTCTTTCCCTGTAAAAAAGAAGATAAATTAATCGACAGAATTTCCTCGACACCAAGTTTAAATCTGAAGCAGGATGTTGTTCAAATAGTTATCTTGGTCTCTCTGTGTTCTGCCTGGGAAGCTTGAGTTTTCTGTTGTCACGTTAATAAAGGCTTACTGCACGTGTTTGTCTCTGTGCCGTCCTCAGGTGGGGACTGGGAGGCTCCTCAGCATCCTGGATGTCCCGGTTCCTCAAAGCAGTTCTGATTTTGGACGTCCACAGTTCCTGAAAATAAATGAAAAACTAAGTGAGGCCACCTGAAATGTTGACTTTATATTTAAATGATGGATTATTGTTGCTCCTTACTGAACATGCTCTCACTGTTTACTGCTGCTCTGGTTTGGTCGCTGCAGATCTCATCAGCATCTTCTGATGGCCCAAAGCTTGGAGAGGCTCGGTCCAACATGGATTCAAAAAACATAGAAGAGATCCACTGCGGTCAGAACAGGCCTAGATCACATGGAGAGTATTTCTGCACAGGGTTCTTTCTCTTAAACTAGACCTGAAAACTAACTGAGGACCATCTAGAACTAGATAGACTCACAGCTGAAAGCGGGTTCTAACAGTCGGCGCCATTCACAATCCACATCCCTAAATCAGTCCTGTCCTCTGCTTCCAACTGCTCTGAAATCAATTAGTCCCTACATCTAAACTATGCTAGAGGATTGGTTAGTGTTAAAAGAAAAATTTGAATCGTTCTAAAAGAACACATACATACAAAAACAAACACACAGTATTCATATGTACTTAAATATGTGTGTATATGGTCCTGGGCATCAGTGTGAGGACCTTTTTTCTGATTTCACCGTCACACTAAGGAGCGATTGTTGTAAAAGGAGGACATTTTGCTGGTCCTCACGTGCTGTTTTTCTGACAGCTAGGTTTAGAACAGAAAGCTACAATATCCTTTAAATCACAATACTATGAAGAGATATTTGTGCCATCGGTTTGAGCGCGCAGGAACCAATCCGAGCGCGCAGTGAGACAACACGCGCACGCGCAAAACCGGTCTGGCGCGCGCTCAACTCTGAAAAACCCTCTCAACGCACTGTTCTCGCGCTCAGTTTCATCTCTGCGCGTGCTCGGATCCGTCTCTGCTCGCGCTCGACCTGCTCTCTCCGCACTTTACACCAGCTGTGCGCTCGGCTGTTTCTCCGCTCGCTCGACACTCTGCACTCGCAACTTCAGCAATATACGTAAATGAACCATACCATCAGCCAATCACGCTCAGCTTCTTTTCATCCAATGGAAGCATTTGTTCCTAATAACAGTAAAACAGTTATTAGTGTTGCGCCGATATCTGGCTGTGCAGGTATCGGTTTTGCGCATGCGCGTGTTGTCTCACTGCGCGCTCGAATTGGTTCCTGCGCGCTCAAACCAATGGCACAAATATCTCTCCATACAAGACTACCACTAAATTGTAATTTCATTTCAAATTCCAATCTTTATTTTACTGGTTAATGGGGTTTCGATTTTTTTTTCAGGATGTTATCAATATAAAAATACGCTCCAAATGGTCAATTTATTTTGTTTATTTCTATTACGCTCCCTGCAATTACACTAAACTCATCCTAGGGGGCACGCTTCCGCATTTGGGAGCTACTGACCCAGACAATTCTTTTGGATTTGTTCAGATTAAAGGACATTTTAAGCTGTCAGTAAACCTTTATTAAACCCATACTACAGAATTAGAAAAAGGTTTGATCTATTAAATATATTTCTATATCAGAAAAAAATTAAATTCACTTTGTGATTTGGTAATATAATCATAAACCTTTAAGGTTTAAAAACTATAAGCAGAAAATTATTAATTAAAGCTACTTCCCCAACATATACATATAGAGCAAAATGCATTTTTTTTTAAATCATAGAGCTAGCGCCATCTAGTTTTCAAACATTTTACATCTAATTCGTCAAAGGTGTTTAACTCAAACAGAAATAAAAGTTATTTTGAAATCATCAAATCACTGTTAACAGTCCTGACAAATTTAATCGGCTAAAAACATTTAATCCTGAGACATCAGAGATGCTACATGCTAAGCTAGCTTTCACAACTTCATGAAAAAAACATAAAATTAATAATTTTTCACGTAACATTTTTGCGATTAACATAGTAAAAGAGTGAAATAAACCTTCCAGATGATCTCCCGAAAAGTTGTAGTTCTCTGGTGCGTTGCTCATCTTTAGCAGGTTTGCAAACTACAGACTGCAGCGAGTTTAGCTTCAAGGTTGAGGCTAGAAAGTAAAGATCAGCAGCAGCTTCATAGGCGCTCCGTTTCCACGGCAACCGATGAGCCTGCGCATGCGCACATGCATGAGATTTATGCTGCGTTCACACCGGGCGCAGCTGGTGCAACAGAAGCAGCGAGTTTACATGCAAAGTCAATGGTTGACGCGCGTCAAGGCGCAGCAAAAGGTCCCGCGGCGCGTTTTGAGCAGCGGGCGCAGCGCGTCTGAGCAGCTGAAGCAGCGCGTCGGGCGCGTTTTAGCATCTGACGCGCGTGGCGCGCCGCAAACGCGTTGCTGCTCGAGATGGAAAAATTGAATTTTTGCTGCTCGACGTGCCGCGTCAACCAATCAGAGAAGCTGATCTGGGAGCTGGCTGGGAGAGAGACACAGCGCTGATGACACAGACCGCTCTGATTACTCCTCTTAAAAAGTTTATTAACGCATAATTAACTTAAAATGCAGAAATCTGCCGGCAGAATATGTTCGCTTTTATTATTCTGGTGCCTGCAGATCGGATTATTTAGATGAAAAACACCTACCAGCCGCCGCGGTGAACCGCGAGGAGGCGACCCGGCCAGAGGCTGCTGTTGAAGGGATTCCTTCTGTCGGCGCACCGCTGGTATGTGGGGGTCTGAGCGGCTCCGACAGAAATAACATTGGGAGGCAGGATTGTAATCTGGATGAACTGACTGCACTGATTACATTTTCAGGTGTATTTTCTCACTTAAAAACATATTAAAACTACTTTATTCCCACTGATCACAGCAAATATAGCTGCAAGGCAGAGAAAGGATAGTGAAGCTCCGCCCAACGCGCGTCAGACACACTTTTAGCAACGCGCAGCCAGAGCAGCAAAGCTGCTTCAGCCGTGCGTCAGAACTAACTGGTACAAGCAGCAAAAATGAAGCGGCAGACGCGATTTTGCTGCTTTTGCTGCGTCCGGTCTGAACGTAGCATTAGAGAAGCTTGCTAATTGCAGCAGCTAATTAGCCAAACAAAGCACGTTTTTCTGAAATAAAATAGTTTCATCGTCCCCTATATGTGAGTTCAGTTAAAGCTTAACTTTAATAAGGCAAAGGAGCGAGTTTTAAAGCTCACTGGCAGCTTTCTAAGGTTTTCTACCGCAGTTTGAAATATTCCACAATAAATCTGAATTTGGAAATAAATTTAATTCTAAATGCGAAAGTTTTATTTTTCCGATCGCCATTGCGATGCCACCCATGTAAACACACTCATTCAGACCTTTGGAGCAAAATAACCCCAACTGCATATCTCCAATGCCAGTCAAACATTTCCTCTTTAGTCCTAACCTTCATCCACTGGGACTAAATTTAATGTGCGGATGAACATGCCAACCCACCCTCTATCCCTGTAGCAAAGGAGCATTAGCATATGGTGCTGAGAGCTTAACTTAACTAATATGACCACCAAAAATAAAAGTCAGGATACAAAGATTAGATGGAGGCAGTGGTGGCTGGCCCATAGAGGGCGCTCGGGCGCCGCCCTCCCTGGATGTGGAGGGGAAAAGTCACAAATTATATATACAGATTTTAAAAGTATTATCAATGTCAGTTTTACTTAATAGCATGTGGCTACATGTAATATGAATTATTAAAACAACATTTCTACCAATTGACTGTAATTCAACAGTACATTTCCACCGACAGAACGTATAATTTCTCTGCTTGGGCGCTCATTCAAAGCGAAAATAGTGAAATAACCAATTGTATAATAATGCTAGGGAAAAATAATAAATATTTGGCCCATCAGCTTCGCCACAATTAATGGCTTTGGGACAATGGCGTAACGACACAACAATAGGCCCGTAAGCATCATTATCTGGGTGGGCCCCATATGAAGTACAACACCCCTATGGTTTTAATCTACGCTCTGGATTACCCATAATTCCAAGTCGTAATTTAAAGAATAAAATACTCAAATACATTGTTCTTTTAAGATCATTATTGCGGTTTGAAACATATTATATGAGTATATTTTTTTACCAACCGTCTAATGAACTATACACAGTTATTAACATAATAATTAAAAGTACCACTTTTTGCTTTGCTATTGGTGTCGTGTTTAAACGGCTCACCATCATGTTGAAATCTGCCATGTGTTGGGGTATAAATAAGGTCCGGTCAGTTGATCTAGTAGCAGGTGGGTTTAAGAGGAATTTTTTGCACCATTACATTTGTAAAGACACGTCCTAGCTCACAATTGCATAGGGAACAAACCAGGTGTCAGCAGTGGGGCCCCTAAAAAGTCAGGGGCCCCTAAGCAACTGATATCTCTGCTTACCGATAGTTATGCCATTGCTTTGGAGCTCCTGGAATTTTGGCCCCTGCTACAGTGATATAGGTGATGTAGCTAGTAGTCAGTCAGACAGTGAGGTGGAGACTATGACGACGCCAACAGCTGAACTTGAAGAGCAGCTTTCACACAATTCAGTGAGATCTTTACTGAGTTCCCCTTTCATGAGAAGGACGATGGTGGAAAAAATCCACGAAAAAAACCTGGGACCCTACAAGCCAGAAATAAATTTAACGCAGCAAACCGAGGAAAAAGCTAAACCCTACAACCAGACTTTTAGGAGGAGTTGGTTCCAGCATAAGTCGTGGCTGACAGCCTGTGGGACAGCTAATGCACCTTAGAGTTTTCCCTGCATGTTGAGGTGGACACAGTCTGGACAGACAGACTTAAAACACCTCTCCCACAGCTAGGACTGATTTAAAGCACTTTTTAGAAAAGGCAAAGAAGAAGGAACAATCTGGGATTCACATGGAAAGTAATAGAATATAGTTGTCTTTTTCTAGATGTTTGTTAATTTGCAAACAAAAATAAACTCTTAAATAAACACATTTTCAGAAAATAAATAGTTTTTATACATTCAAAAAAGTATAAAGCTGACTAATATTTTCTCCATATTAAACAGGCACATTACATTTTTTTTAGGTCTGTGACGCCATATTGGACCATGCAAAACACAGATTTACAAGATTAATGAACAAAAAGTAAAACTACATATTAAATCATGTTTTTTTTTATAATAAAGTGTTTTTATAATGTTTTGTGTTGTTGGCATTCATATAAATATACTGGTGTGATAACTTAGTATACGTTTGATTAGTTTTTGGTATACACCTATTTTGAATTATAGCCCCCCTGGAGAAAACTCCCCCAGCTGCCACTGGTCTTCTGAGTACTGCAGTTGTATTGTACCGTTCTGAAAAACTAAATATAGCACACGCACTTTAAAACGCCTGTTCTCTTCAGATGTTGTTACAGATTTTTCAGCAACTGTATATTTTCAGTTCACTAAAAATGAGCCACTGGTGCCGTAAAAAACTTAACAAATAAAAATCGCTCTAGGAGAGGAGTTTTTAGACAGCTGGAGATAG